GCCCTCGTCGCGCCCTCGTGGGCCCCAGATCATGACCGACGTCCCACCCGCCACCCAGCAGCCCAACGGCTCTGGCCTCAGCTCCTCGAGTAGAGGCCAGCGTCCTGCTGCTGTACGCACTCCCAGCAACGCATACGCTCCTGCTCGCCGTCCCCAGCAATTCTCCCTCAATTCCAATACGCATCGCCAGCGTAACAACTCGGCCACGCGCTCGCGCCGCAACCCCAACGCTGAGTACCGTGCTCAGGAAAAGGCCTATGTTCAGCGCATTCGCCAGGAGGATCAGCAAGACGACTTCTTTGACCCAGCCCTGCGCACCCCCAGCCTTGGTTATAGCACCGACTCGGAGACGGACGACGACTCGCCCTCGACCGCCGACTATGTTGACAACGACCCCTACGACCAGGAGACGCTCCTCTACTATGGCAACGACGACATGCAGCCGTCAATTGAGGAGCTCAAGATCCCTGCCAATCGTGAGCGCCTCGAGTGGCACTCGATGCTGGCCAGTGTGTTGACAGGCGATGTTGTCAAGCAGGAAAAGAAGCGCTTGATTGGCAGCTCAGAGCAACAAGGGGACAGCACAATGAAGGCGGAGATTTGGATGGGCATCCGCGCAAAGGTCTGTGGCCGCTCGCTGCAGGCGCAACGGCGAATAGTCGACGACACAAGGAGCAAGATTCGCGCCAACCTCGAGAGCATTATTTCCTTTGAAGTTGGTGGAGTGGCTGAGGCTGGTCAGACGGCTGCCCAACAGGTTGCGGATATCGTCAAGAAGATTGAAAAGGTGGAGAGTGCCTACCCCACACGGCAGGCTCTCGAGGCTGCATACCCCAGAGCAGCTTCACAACCCTACAAGGACGCCTGCGACGCTGTTATTTCTTGGCACAATACCATTGCCCTTATCAACACTGAGATGTCTATCTTGAAGAAATGGGTTGGCAACGAGGAGTTGGACTTTACCAAGCCCCGCCCTCGCTCTTCCCATGACCACCATCTGACCGATGAGTCTTCGTTTATTGACCGGATACTCAAGGAGGATGGCCTCAAGTCTCTGCAGGGAGACACAAACCTGTTGACGCCCCTGGAAAAGGTCATTCAAAAAGCAAAGGCTACGCTCATTGCAAACGCAGAGGGATTCGCCGACAGGCATCTCCCGCCCTATATCGAAGAGCTGCTGACTCTCATCAACTTCCCCTCTCGTCTACTTCAGGAGATTATCCGCGTTCGCCTGTCCTATGCCAAGAAGATCAAAGACCCATCACAGCAAGGTGTCATGATGGCTGAGCAGATGATTGCCCAGTTTCAGATTCTTCTTGCCATGGCTGGCCAGGTCAAGGAAAGCTATATGGTCATCTCGCGGCCGGAGCCTGGCTGGGACCTGCCACCGTGCATTGAAGAGAACTTTGATCAGGTTGTTCTAGATGCCCTCAAGTTCTACTTCAAGATGCTCAACTGGAAGCTGGCAGCCAACAAGAACACATTCAAAGAAGCTGAAATTCTGGAACAGGAGTGGGATTTCTGTAACAAGCTAGGTCGCCAACTTCAGGGCGGTGATGTGGTGACGGCAGAGCAGTTCAGTGTTCTTACCTCCAAGTCCCTGACCCGTCTCAGTGCGCACTTTGAGCGAGAACTCCAGCGCCGACCCGATGAACTGACTGGGTCTGAGATGGAAAAGCGCTACAAGCAGATTTTGGATTCTGTTCGTGTGCGACAGCGAAAGCTGTTCCGTTTCTCCAGGATCCTCACACAGCGTTTTGAGAATTGTACCGAGTACAATATCAACAACATCGATCTGGACGAGGAGCAGCTGCACGACCTGTACGAGTCGTTGGTCATTACAGGACACTTCCTTATCGAGACTTCCAGTACCAACAATACTGGCCTTTACATTGTTGCCTCGCCTGCAGCACTTGATCGTCCCAATGATATTCAGTCGCTGCTTACGACATGTTACCATGCTGAAGAGGCCCCAGAAGACCCCTCGAATCCATATGTTCTCATTATCAAGCCAGAGCAACCTCTTTACTGGTCAGGCAAGAGAATGTCAGCCAATATCATTGAGCCTCATCTGGATCTCAAGGCTGGCCGCTTGCGACTTGTTGCCGACGGCTCCCAGCAGCGGTTGGCTAATGCAAACATGTCGTTCTTATCCTGCATTGGCATGGAGCTGCACACCTTGATCGATCAACGTGCCAATCTTCCACGCGTTAATGCGGAATTGCTGAAGATCAAGCAGACCGCATACACCCTATCCAATACCATCATGGACAGCGTTGAGATTGTTCGCAGACAAACGGCTGGCCTTGATTGCCAGGATCTCATTCAAACCTGTTTTGCTTTTGCAACAGAATTCGGTCAGCGTTCAGTGCTCTACATGGATTACAACCGCCGAGCAATGAACAACATCAGGCTTACAAGGCTGGCTCTCGACTGGGTCAGTTTTATCTGTGATGATTGTATTGCATCTGACCGCAAGACGTTCCGATGGGCTGTCGTAGCCTTGGAGTTTGCCATGATGATGACTCGCGGTCAGAACATCTTGTCCATCAGCGACGATGAGTACTCCCAACTACGTCTCAAAGTTGCTGGCTGTATGTCAGTTCTTATTTCTCACTTCGATATTATGGGCGCTCGATCCACTATTGCTGCTCAAGCTGAGCGCCAGCGATTGAACGCCATTGCGGGCAAAAGCATGCTGGACCCTAAGAATGCCAAAGATGACGACGAGTCCATCAAAATGACACAAGAACAATGGATGCAAAGACTTGAAGAAATTGACTCTTTCCGAAAGGAAAAGGAAGCCGAACGGCAAGCATTGGGCAGGGTGCTGGAGGACTCTAACGAAGCCGACCGAGCTCTTACCTACCTCTCCTCATCTGCTACCAACGTTACGCTGCGTTGGCAGCAGGGCCAGTTTGTTGGTGGTGGAACCTTTGGATCAGTATATGCAGCCATGAACCTTGATTCCAATCACCTCATGGCTGTCAAGGAAATCCGTCTCCAGGACCCCCAGCTCATTCCCACGATTGTCGCGCAGATCCGAGACGAAATGGGAGTGCTACAGGTGCTGGACCACCCCAACATTGTGTCTTACTATGGTATCGAACCTCATCGAGACAAGGTATACATTTTCATGGAGTACTGCTCTGGTGGTTCGCTTGCTGGTCTTCTGGAGCATGGGCGTATTGAAGACGAGACTGTCATCATGGTTTACGCACTGCAGATGTTGGAGGGCCTTGCCTACCTTCATGATTCCGGTGTCGTACACCGTGATATCAAACCTGAGAGTGAGTTTTCTTGCCTAACCATCCCTCTCCATGTACTAACGCTATCCAGATATCCTCCTCGATCATAACGGTGTAATCAAGTTTGTCGACTTTGGTGCTGCAAAGCTCATTGCTCGCCAAGGTCGAACACTCGCTGCAGAACACAACGCTACACGTCAAGGCCGTCAACGCTCAATGACTGGAACACCCATGTACATGTCTCCCGAAGTTATTCGCGGCGGAAGCACCGGTCGCCACGGTGCCGTCGACATTTGGTCTCTCGGCTGCGTTATCCTCGAAATGGCCACGGGTCGCCGTCCCTGGGCATCCATGGACAATGAATGGGCCATCATGTACCACATTGCCCAAGGCGATCCACCACAACTACCATCTCGCGACCAGCTCAGTGAAACGGGCATCGACTTTTTGAAGAAATGCTTCGACCGCGATCCAAACAAGCGAGCCAGTGCAGTCGAGTTGCTGCAACACGAATGGATCATGACACTCCGTGCTCAACTCAGTCTTGAGCCCGCAACCCCGAGCGATACCAACTCCAGCAGCGGCGGAACCCCTCATAGTAGTAGGCAAAACTCTACCTACAACTAGTTCCCCCTCTGCCCTTTCTTCTTTCGCCTAAATCAGAAGACTTGCTCAGTTTTCCGGCCTTTTTTATTCTTCTTATTTGTTTGATACGCGCGCTAACTCCCCACCCTTCTTTTCCTCTTCCGCCCTATAGTCACCCGTCGTCTCTCATTCCGCAAATCCAATCTCGATTCCACAAAAACCGGTCCCCTAAGTCCCAGCCTTACGGTCTCGTCGACTTGGAGCACGGGATCCATATCCCCGCTGCCGCCGTTCACGCCGTCCGCGAGTGGGGGACCAGGGTTCTTTTTTGCGAAGGTGAGAAGGGACGCGTGAGATTGTAGGGCGGGAGTTGAGCGGAGTAGGTAAGGGTGTGATGTGGTGGGAGTTTCCTATAAGATTACGTGCCAGTGTGGTGTCTTTCCTTTCCCTATCCTCCATCATCTATCTCTCTGGGCTTCAATCTGTCATCACCACCACCAACCATTATTATGGTTTCCTGCTTCTCACTACTTGCCGCTAGCGTTTCTTGGCGAGTAAATGGGAAGATGGGTTTTCTCTCTTGTATCACACATTTCTTTTTTCCCTTGTGCGCCTTTTTATTCATCTCATACTCTATTTTTCCTTCTCTTCTACGTATCAAGTACACATATTGGATTCTGGATTGCGAAACAACAAGGAGATGAAAAAAACCGATTGGCCGGGGATCTCAGCGTGGGAGGGATTTAATCATGTGCATTAGCGATGGCGTTGTTTTTTTTGGGGGGGGGTCTTTGTTACCTTGGGAGATTGCTTCGTCTCGTTCTTTTTCTTCTTGTGCCATGAACGAACAAACGATTCAGTTAGATTGGATTGGATTGAATTGGGAGGGAGTACATACATAGCTAAGCAACGATTGCCCCAACTGTGAGGCTTATAGCATTTTTATCAGTTTACTTTTTTTTCTCTTCTCTGTCAAGTGTACATGCTACATCACTATGACGAAGGTTTGGGTTATGAAAATGTATTTCAGTCCTGCTGTTGGCGTGGCAAGACAGCGTGCTTGATCTACGGTCTATCATCTATTCCTCAGTCATACTCTCGTATTCTCTAGAGGAAAGCTCATAAACATTTTGCCCCGCTCCTCTCCTCGCTGCATATGCCCACCATCTACTTACCGTCACGCATGGTACGGAAAAAGTCCATGACACCGGTAAAGACGACAAGCAGAATACCACCTCCGGGACCAAGTCGGAGAACTTTGGGCAGGAAACCCTTGTACAGGGCCGAGAAGCCCTCCTCCTTCATGACAGTACCAAGTGCAGGCCATGCCCAGTTGTACTTGGGTACTGAGCCGGCTACCTTTGGCGAGTTCTGGATACGCGACTTGACCACGTCCATGGGCGTGTTGAGAATAGTACCGACTGTTCCACCAATAGCACCAGACACGAGATCGTTTGAGATTTGGCTTCGCTTATCGGTTGCCTTGGGCAGGAGAGCGCGGACCTGGAAAATGCAGCCAAAGTATCCAGCGTTCCAGAGAATGTGCCTCCACATGGTTGACTCGAGACCCTGGTACAGAGTAAGAGGGCCTTCCTGCCTGATAATCTTGGTAACACAGTCCATCATGCCGTTGTACTTGTGCGCCTGGGCTTTGTCCTGTAACCGAATCTTAACTAGCTCGAAAGGTACGACGACGAAGGATTCGGTTGCACCGGCGGTGGCGCCAGTGAGGATAGACAGGGACTGGTTCATCTTGGATTGGCCAAAGAGGTTGCGGTAGAAGGCACCCCATGAGTCATTGGCAGCAAACTTGGTAGCCCTAGGCTATGTGAGTTGGAGGAAAATGAACGCGAATGGAGAAATGCGCACCTCTTTGGCGCCTCCATGAGAATGGGAGCGGTAATACCACGGTACAATCTCGAGGCACTGGCAAACGTCAGTCCTTCTAGTCTGTTACTGCTAATGCATTGTATCCGTACCCCTCATTCTTGATGATCTTCCTGAAGCAGTCCACCATGCCATTGTATCCCTCGTCACCAACTACCTTGCCGGTCTGAAGTTGTCTGCGCGCGTTAAGAGGCGGTTGCGAAGTGGTTGGATGTCTGGTTTCTTACACTCGGGTCTTGACAACGTCAAGCGGGTACCTTGAGAATAAGTCAGCGTTAGTCGCATAGAGAAGGAGCAAGTGAGTGAGCCATACATTATCAGGATCTATATGCGCCGGGCCAATTAGCATTGTGTGGCATCACGCGAGCTCGACGAGCGATGAGTTGCGCCCACTCACCTCCGACACACCAGCCACGGCACCTTAACACACAGATAGTTAGCGCGCGTACGTATAGAATAAAGGCTATAACTGAGATGTTGGCCAAAGGTTGCCGTCGTACAACCAAGGCGCATTGGAGCTGCATATATTTTGGTGGGCAGGTACCGGTAATTATGCAAATGACCACTAAATCGGCATTGAACAGTACTAGAGCAGCTATAACTTACCGGCCGCGAACTGGTAGACGAAAGGCAATGGCTTCGCATCGGCAGACGACATTTTGAGGGCAGGATGGTGGAGGAAGAAAGATGTCGGAGGGGCAGGGAGAAGAAGTGCCGGTGCAGTGCTAGTAGGAGTGCGAGAGGGATGCACGGCACACAATCTGGGGAAAGAGGCGTGGAGCGTGGGATGTCATGGATTGTATGTAAGTAAGTAGTATAATATCTCCAAAAGTGGCCCTAGCTTCCCGTCTTCGGTTGCAAGGCACTGCTGCAACTTCCATTCCCAATTCCACTTGCACTTCCACTTCAGCTTTGGTGGGGGTGCAAAAGCTACTGTTCCTCGGCCTGCCCCACATGTCCAATTCCTGGCCAAATATACCCCTCTGGACAAACTCTACGGTATGTAATACGTCGGGTAATATTATTCGGCGGCTGCGAACTGATTCGACTCAATCGTCTGCAGCATTGTAGCCGACGCATGTCCCGCGCTGTCCCGCAGTCCCACATTCCTTGGACCGACATCGCTTGGCCCCAGCAACTTAATGACTCACGTGACCTGGATCGCGAACTCGTGGCGAAGTCCCATCCTATTGGTTGCCCGTGACGCGTGAACGCGCTCAACTGCACTCTGCAGACGTTGAGTCTGCCCGCCGTCTATTTCCATGTCGACACGGCAAAAGTCCTTTTTTGATCAGGACCAGAAGCCAAAGGTAATTTGACAGCGACACATGATTCACTAACCTAGTACTTATCCAAGACACACGCAGCAATATCGAGGCCAATGGAACCGCTCGCGCAACGGCGCCTTCCCCCACCATCACAGTAATCAGAACCCACCCGCGACGCGACAGATAATTACAGGTCCTCCCATAATGCCGTCAACCCAGACGCGTACCAAACTCAAGGCCTTTCAATTCATCGAAGGCGTGCCATCTGTCGCCAATGCCAAGGAGCGCGAGGCTGAGAAAGAGAATCTGCGTAGTGTGCCAGGAAAAGGGTCCAAGTCAATGGGAACCCCAAAGGCAAGCAAGACTTCGATAGACATCGGAGCTGGTAACAAGACTCCGAAACTGCCCACTGTTGTAGACTGCCCGCCACCGTCTACACCGGCTACCACGAGACTACCGCTGGCGGATCTTGTTGGTAACGTCGATGATTCCTCAAGACATGCGCCGCCGCCCGTGGCCTCTCCAGAAGAGCAATTGATATGGAGAGGCTCACAAGCGGTAAACACCCCATTGCCACGAAAGAACAAGAAGCGCGCTAGGAGTTCCTCACCGGTCGGCCCCTCGCAAGAAGAATTCAGGCTGGACTCAAACAGGCAAGACATCACAACGCCCCAAGCTGATCCAGCCATGGAACTTTGGTCACGATACACGAACAGCAAGGGAACTCCCACTGCCAATAGAAGTGTAGCCTTTGCTCACCTCATCAACGAGTCTTCACCAAGGTCTGCCGCTGCTGCCGGAAGTGTGAGTGGGCTTCGAAGATGGGCCAGCTGTGGCGTCGAGTTTCCCGCATCCAACAGAAAGAAAAGGAGGATGCATGGTGTATTTCAGGCCGAAAAGGAGATTGCCGAGGACGTGTTTGCTGATGTTCCGAGTTCAGATGGCATCATGCTTGGGCAACCCACCAAGCCAAACATCGCGAGCATGGTAAAGCGGATGCGAGAATGCGTATCAAAATCAGAGACTCGCCTGTCCTCACAATTGCCATCGAGTTCATCACCTCTACCCCGGACTACCGATCATCAAGACTCATCGTCCGGCTCTCCTGTACAACGGCGTCCTCGGGAACAAGATGTGATTACTTCAGAGACTCTGCAACATGTATCAACTTCACTGGGAGACATTCTGGATGAAGATGACGAACTTTTGCAAGAAGATGAACCTGTAAATGCTGAGCAGACCGGACCTGCCCCACTCGAAGCATCCCCGGAATCATCTGATGATTTTGGGGACGACGATTTCGATGCAGACTTGGTAGAAGCCTTGGATGTCTCGACCCAAGTCAGCCAAACAGCCCACTTCAGCAACAATACAAACACATCTCGCCAGCTTGCAGCCGCACAGCCGCAGCCACAGCCAGCTGTAGCGGCTCCCTCAAAGACCGGAAGCGACGATGAGTTTGGCATGGATGACGAAGATGAATTTGCCGCTGATCTAGAACAAGTGGCATCATTTTATGACACGATGTCGACGGAATCCCTAACAGCTGATCCAGCCCCAGCAGCAAACAGGGGGCCCTCTGCGGCTACCAAAGATACAGCATCAGCTACAGTCATTAGTCTGGTAGATGATGACGATGAATTCGACGAGGATATTGACTCTGACGAGTTTGCCGCTGCTGAAGTGGCTGCCACGCAAGCACCAACAAATACCGTATGTAAAACACAGATACGCCACTGAAAGAGCATCGCTTACTCTGGAAGAGTCAACAGGACAATAGGGCCATTCAGCGTTATCTGGTGAAGAGGGTAGATGAGAGCTCCTACACCACTGACCGTGGCTACCAGATGCCTGAGAAAGTGAGTTGTGTATCGAGCGATGTATCAAGAATTGTGGCTAAAGCACTATAGGTTCTCATGGTTGAAGAGGAGAAGACGAAGCTGTTCAAAGCCATCATTCTGCGGCAAGCTTGGTTTGACACGCCTTGCACGACTGGCTCATTTGTACATGTCATAGGAGAGTTTACAAGTGGCGGACAGTGTGTTGTAGATGATCATAACAACATGCTTATCCTGCATCCAGACCATTTGATCTCATCAACTGTTGTTGCAGATTCGTTTGGTTGTCTTCGACGAGCAGTGCTTCAGGACCGTGTAAAAGCGACGAGCAGAGCCAATGCACCAATGTTGTACGGCACACTTCTGCACGAACTCTTCCAAGAAGCCATGAAGGCGAACAAGTGGGATACTGCCTTTCTTTTGGAAACGATTGAAAGACTTCTACCAAACCACTTGGAGACCATACTGGAGATCAACTCAACATGCGAAGAGGTCAAGGAGCACATGAATAGCAAGTTGCCTGAGCTGCAAGCCTGGGCCAAGATTTTTGTTTGCGCAGAGCCAAAAGCCGATGCCGTTGTTCGCGAGCGCAATGGGCGGCAGTGTACAATGAGTATCAATAAACTACTCGACGTTGAGGAGCACGTTTGGTCTCCCATGTACGGGCTAAAGGGCAATATTGATGCTACTGTCCAAGTCACAATGCGGGACGATCAGGGCGAACGTACCCTAACCGTGCCATTTGAAGTCAAGACCGGGAAGAACTCATCGAATGCCGCTCATGTTGCGCAAACCGCGTTATATAACCTATTGTTGTCTAATCGATACAGTATGTTCTTCAATGCTTCCATAGTCTCCAGCTGACCCAAACAGATGTTAATATTGCATACGGCATCTTGTACTACCTTGAAACCTCCGATATCAGTCGCATTCCTGCTATTCGTAACGATATTATCCATATGATTATCAAGCGGAACGAGTTGGCATGCTACGTTCGAGATCGGATTGAGCTTCCACCTGTGCTGAAAGAAGACTTCAAGTGCCAAAAGTGCTATGCACAGGAGGCATGCTTTCTTTACCACGACCTGGTCGAAGATGGCAAGGGCGACATGCTAAACAAAAAGGCAAAAGAACGATACGACGAGCTGGTAGCGCCACTCCAACCCTCCCATCGAGAATTCATGAAGAAGTGGGATACGCTCCTGACCAAAGAAGAAACGGACATGATGAAGTTTCGGCGAGAGCTTTGGACGATGCTTAGTACAGAACGTGAAAAGCTGGGTCGCTGCTTCTCCAACGTCATCATGGAACCCGGGTCTGGTTTCGAAGAGAAGAATGCCCAAAAGATCAATCGCTACAACTACACCTTCATCAAACAGCAGCCGGCCCCTGGCTTTTCTTTCACTGAATCCCAGCTCATCGTCGGAGAGCCTGTCGTTGTCTCGGACGAACAAGGCCATTTTGCACTGGCCAACGGGTACGTTACAAATGTCAGCAAGCGGCGCATCACCGTCGCTGTTGATAGACGACTACACAACTCTCGCACCAAGCTTCCAGGTTTCAATTCGCAAACCAACCAAACCTTTGCTGGTATCATGGAAGTCACCAAAGAAGGTGAAACAGTTGCAAAGTATGAGGCCAATGAGGAGCCCGTCCTGTACCGCCTGGACAAGGACGAATTCAGTAATGGCATGGCAGCTGCTCGTAACAACCTTATTCAGATCATGGATAACAACGTTTTCAAGGCTCATGACTTGCGTGTGCTGATTGTGGATGGTCGGGCTCCTGCATTCAAGTCTATTAAGGACACACCTCTGATGCCTGAGTCATCACAAATGTCAATGAATTCCGATCAAAGGGCTGCTGTTTCGAAAGTCATGTGCGCCAAAGACTATGCGCTAGTACTGGGCATGCCAGGAACTGGAAAGACGACGACAATAGCACACATCATTCGCACACTTGTTGCTCAAGGGAAAAGTGTCCTTTTGACTTCCTACACGCATACTGCTGTTGACAATATCCTTCTCAAAATCCGGGACGATAAGATTGGCATTCTGCGACTTGGTGCTGCGAAGAAGATCCATTCTGAGGTACGAGAATTTGCCACTCTTGCGGCAGAGCCAAAGGAAAGTGTTGAAGAACTTGAGAGGTCATGGATGCAGCCACCTGTCGTGGCTACTACCTGCCTGACTATCAACCATCCCATCTTCAGTCGCCGTGTCTTTGACTACTGCATTGTCGACGAAGCATCTCAAATCACGTTGCCAGTATGCCTTGGCCCAATTCGCATGGCCCAGAAGTTTATTCTCGTCGGTGATCACTACCAGCTGCCGCCATTGGTGCAGAACAAGGAAGCTATGGAAGGTGGACTTGACGTATCGCTTTTCAAGCTGCTTTGCGAAGCCCATCCACAAGCGGTCGTTAGCCTAGAGCACCAATACCGCATGTGTGCTGATGTCATGCTTCTGTCTAACAGGTTCATCTACTCGGGACGATTGAAATGTGGCACAACCGCAGTGGCTACCCGTACCCTGAAGCTTTCCAAGCCAAAC